ACCACCTTGGAAACCCAAGGAGGGGTCGCTATGAGTCAAACTGACTCAATGGCAGTGAGTAACAGATATAGATATCAAAGATTATTAGTGGTTATTAGAGGTGGGAGGAAGGCGGGGGGAAGCTTTTCTTTGTGCAGCACTGAGTTTATGCTAATGGTGGAATATTTTGGAAAAGGATAGCAATAATGGTGGCACAACATGAAAAACGTCATCAGTGTCCCTAAGCTGTAAATGGGGAAGTTGATAGGTTGGTTGGTGAATGTCTTCTTGTGTATGTTTTCACCACAATAAAAGTAAATAATAATAATCTCCTCTCACACATATGGGCTGCCATGAGTCGGACTCAAGGGCGCCTGATTTTCTTGTTAGGGAGCCTGCCCTGGCCCTCCTTGGCAAGTGCAGACCCCACCACAGGAGGAGTAACTGAAGACACTGAGTGGGCATCTTGGAGGTGGAAAGGGCATGGAAGGAAGGCTCAGGAAATAGATTGCACAGAAGGCTGACCTAGGTCCCCTGTGCTCCCCCCTCCCAGGGCTCCCATCCTCACCTGGGCCCCCAGTAGCCAGCATTGCAGACACAGTGCCCAGTCACAGCATCACAGGTCCCCTGAATACAGGTGGGGCAGGTGAAGCCACAGTCCTCCCCAAAGGTGCCAAGTGGGCAGGGCTCTTCACACCTGAGATGAGGCAAGGCTTAGGTAATGGGAGGGCAGAGGAGGCCTGGCCCTCACAGGCCCTGCTCCTCTTCCCACAGACTTCTGGACTCAGGGGTTCAGTTGACTGTTCCTTAGCAGTGAAGCTCAGGTGTCAACAGGGCCTTAAACGTGAGGCCACACCCAACAGGTGACAAACCACAGATTCCCGAAGGGGAAAGACAGAAAGCCTGAGTGGTTGGGGAGCTGGAAGAGCATCCTGCCCAGAACTCCTCAGCACCCATCTCTCCCTTCAGTCTTCCCCAGGGAGGGAGGCATGAAGATGTGTGTTGGGGTAAAGGGTGAGGCAGTTAGCCCAGAGGGAACAGCAGAGGGGAAGGGAGGTTCCTACCTGGGCCCCTGCCAGCCAGGGTCACAGCGCTGACAGTGCCCAGTGTCTGGCTGACAGGACTCCCCAAGCCGGCAGTGTGGGCACTGCTGCCTGCAGCTGTCGCCAAAGGTGCCTGGTGGGCAGGGCTGGTGGCAGTGTGTCCCATTCCAGCCTGGCTCACAGGATTCACAGCTGCCTGTGTCTGGAGCACATGGCTCATTCTGCTTACAGTGGCCACAGCTAGGGAAAGAAGGGGTTCGATGAGCACTGGGGGGTGGGTAGAAGGAGACCATCCCCCCCATCCAGCACTATGCCCACTACACCCAGACCTTCCGGGCACTGGCACATGAGTAAGGTCCAGCTCTGTCACTCAGGCAGGTTGAAACCTCAGTTTCCTCATGTTGTATGATGAATGGGGCTGAACAAACAATCTGTGAAGGTTCTTGCAGAATTCCATCCGACTTCTTTTAACCTCCCACTCTGTGATCCATCCTTCCAAGGCAGCCACGGTACCCACCCAACCTCTGCTTTCTCTCTGCCCAGCTTTCTCTTCCTACTCTTTTTCCACATGTGCCTGAGGTCTGGCATGAATGGGACTCAGTATTTTTAGCTTTTATCTCATAACATGAAAATGCATACAAATAAAAACCATAAATATCTGTTTTCACCTTAATAATTTCTTTATCTTAATTTCTCACTAGTGCTTAGACACTTGAAGTTTCTCTTTCTGGATACTTAATTATCTGGGTTGGATTAGAGGAGGGAATTCATAAAATCAATATACAAGATCCTAACTCAGCATTTAAGGAGTCCTCCACTTGACTGCTAATCAGAAGGCTGGTGGTTCAAACCCACCAACCACTCCTTGGAAGGAAGGTTGGACAATCTACTTCCATAGAGATACTGCCTCGGAAACACAAGGAGGGGTCACTATGAGTCAGATCTGACTCGATGGTAGTGAGTTGTTTTATTTTTAGTTTTGGTGGCACAGTGGTTAAAATGCTCATCTGCTAACTGAAAGGTTGGTGGTTCAAACCCACCAGCTGCTGGAGAGAAAGATGTAGCAATCTGCTTCCTTAAAGGTTACAGCCTTGAAAACCCTATGACAGTGCTACTCTGTCCCTATCATCTTTTAATTGGAATCTACTCCATGGTAGTGGACCATGGAGTAGTTCACCACTCAAATGACGGTGGGTTTGGTGGTGTTGGTTGTTTTTAACTAGCATTTAAAAAAGAAAGAGAGAGAATAGAAAACATTACAGTGTATCATATGTAGCAAAGGTTAGGCATGAATTGCCTTGTTAAAAGTTTAAATCAGGGATATGTGATGGTGGTGGTATAAAATGTATTTCTTATTGTGGGTGGAGCCGGCCAAAGTTTGAAAGCCACTGAATCTTAAAGGGATCCTGCAATACTTTTGTTACATGATTCATTCTCGCTCTGTTTCTCAGTATGGCTTGCTAATTTAGTATTTTTGTTATTTAACAGTAACCCGATGAAAGGCAGCGGACTGAACCTAGGGGCATCAAGTTCCTCCCCGCCCTTTTCGTTTCCTATCGTTGTCATAAATATTTTTGTGGCGCACACCTCGCATCTTCCTCAGTTCTTTCCTCTCTTATTATCTTCCCTTCCTTCTCATTCCCTCCTCCGCTTCCTTCTCTCTCACTCCCATAGCTACACCTCTGCTCCCTCTCTGCCTTCCCTCCCTTGCCTTCCTCCTCCCTTTTCTCCCTCCCCACGCACGGCTCACCTGGCCTGGCACTGCGCCCCATAGCGGCCGGCTGGGCAGGGCAACTCACAGCGTTCGCCTCGGAAGCCGGGAGGGCATGCGCACTGGCCCGAGGCGGCGCTGCAGCGGCCGCGCGCGCACGAGCACCGCTGCCTGCAATCTGGGCCCCATCGGTCCGGCCGGCAGGCGCAGCGGCCGGATTCTTGCGCGCACGGCGAGCCGTGGCAGGCACAGCGGAAGCTACAACGGCGGCCCCACCAGCCGGGTTCACACAGGCATGCACCCGTGGCGAGGTCGCAGCGCGCCCCCACCAGGTTGCATTGGCACTGGCGGTGGCACGTGGGCGCCCACCAGCCTGGCTCACAGCGGCACGCGCCTGTCGCGGGATCACAGCGCCCGTGGGGGCCGCAGGCGCATGCGAACTCGCAGCGGTCGCCCCAGCGGTCGGGTTGGCAGTGACACACGCCCGTGGCCGGCTCACACTGGCCGTGCGGGTGGCAGGCGCAGCTCTCACGGCAGTCGGGACCCCAGTACTGGCCCGGGCAGCCTGCAGGGGACAGGACGGGTACAGGGAACTCAGGGCTAGGCATGTTATCGCCCCGCCAGCCATCTCATACACAAGAAAAAGGCTGGCCTTCGGAAAAATGAAGGAGAGCCTTGGAACTTCAGGCACCCTGTCTTCTTGAGCACAGCTTGCTTGTGAACGACATAAACCCTTGGCAGTGGCCTGGCCTCATACTGCACATTCGAGGAGAACACAGAGCTCCAGAGTAGGAAAGGGGCTTACCCAGAGTCACAGACAGGTGAGAAGGCCTTCATTCATGCCTTCCCTTCCCTCCTCATCAAGTTTCCAACTAGGCTGGAGGTGAGCTCAGTGTTCATCCTGATCCCAGACCAGGATGCTGCCCACCAGGGTCCCAGGAGAAGGCACATTTCCCTAGTGTCTGCTCCCAACCTAGTGTTTCCCGGCGGCTGCAGACTTGCCCACCTCTTGCTATCCTGCCCACCAGCCCCTCTTTTCCAGCCCTCCTTTTTCTGACAGAGAGGGCCAACAACCCAGTGTGTGTGTGTGTGTGTGTGGGGGGGGTGGCTCCTTCCACTCTCCACACATCCCCAAGTGTATAAGGTGTATGGGGAGGTGAGTGGAAATACATCCATTTTGCAATTAACAAGGATTGCCAGAATTTTCTGAAAGTTGAAAAGAAAGGTGAAAGTCCCAGAACTGAACCCTGTGGGCAGGGCTTTATGGAATGGGTAAAAAATCAGATGAGTCAGGCCATCTCTGAGTGGGCCCCACTTCCTGCCTCTGGGCCTCAGTGTCCTCAGTGAAGCTCGGAGGGATTCTGGCCCTGCTATTCCAAGATTACATTCCTACTTGCTTTACATTCACCCACCCGGCCCTAGACAACAACTCCACCCTCCAGTGAGAGACTTACGGGAGCTGCACAGGGCCCCGAAGAATCCAGGTTTGCACCGACAGAGGCCTGGCTTAACGCAGACCTCGTTTTTCTGGCAGGTATCCAGCCCCTCGCAGATAGCTGAAAAACACGCCATTTATGTCAGAAGGACTGGGGCATGACCAGAGGACATCCCTGCCCCCTTAGGGCCAGCGTGTGTGTCACAGGATGCCCCAGCTCTAGGGCACAGATGGGAAATAGGCCCCAAGAGGCCTTGGGAGGAAGGGTCACTGGGCTATGCTCTTCCCTCTCCTCAGCTGGGGGTCCACTGCTGGTTACTCACGGATGGTGCATTCTTGATCTTCCTGCCTCCAACCTGGGCAGCACTGGAACCCAGCAGAAGGGCTGTGGAGCAGAAAAGGATCAGCCGGGCAGCTCCGGTGGGTTGGGCCCAGGGCTGCTTGGCCCCTCAGGGTGAGTCACTGTCTCTGGCCGAGCTATGGGAAGCTGTCTCAGCCCCATCAAGAAGGCCCAGGCTAATGTCACAGTCCCAGTGTCCCCAGCCCCCTCTCACTCCTTCCCTGGCCTTCCCACCTTCTGCCTTTACTGTTCACTACTCTCCAGGCTGCCTCTCAGGCCCCTCCCTGCAGCCCTATCACAGCTTCCCCCACACCCTCCTCTTCCCTAATGGCTCAATACCAGTTCAGCCACCCTCCCCAGACTCCCACGAGACCCACCTGCTGGCCATGCAGACGTGCTGCCCATTAGGGTTCAGCTCGGACCCCTGGGTCCCCCAAGTCCAGAGCAGTAGCAATGGGAGGAGCAGCCCCAGCCCCATGGCGGCCAGTGCAGCAAGGGCTAAGGTTACTCAGCCCCACGGTTCCCAACCCCTTTCCTGCTTCCTCCCAGGGCTTTTCCTGAGGAAACCAGGCCGGAGGGGCGGGTTGTCATAAGGCACCTCCCTGAGGGGGGGGCGCGGTGTTGGACACCCATGAAATGTGAAATGAAAGGAAAAGCAGGCCAGTGACCAGGGCTGAGCAGGGGCTAAAGGGGCGGGTCTTAGGGTGGGAAGAAGGAAGTGGCAGATCCCTGTGGGGGTGGCAATCGCTGGAGAGCCTTGGCCTTCCATTAGACCATACTCCAGGAGTAAGAAGCTGGGAAAAGCTTCCCCACCCGGTGACGGACCAAGAAGACCAACCAAAGAAACCAGCCCTGCTGTTGCTTCTCTCAGAGCCAGGAGGTTGAGGAAAGATCACCCACCGACAGACAGACATTGAGAAGTTTCTGAGTGTTATGGGCAATTGCTTTATTACTTTAGCTCAGGCCATCTGCACAAACACTTGGGAGGTAGGTAGTCAGTTCTCTCTTTAGTGAATAGGGACACTGAGACTCAAGAGAGGAAGAATTTTGATCTGACCCAGAGGCTTGGTGCAGAGATGTTAGAAAAGGAGGTGGGCTGACCTCCTACATCAAGCCCTAGCTCTCAGACTAGGATCACCAAAGAGGCTTGGAGGGCTGGGAAGGTGAGAGCTCTGTTCTCATTTGAGGTCAGACATCCACCCACAGCCAGACCCCAAAGTCAGACCCATGGGGCAGTTGAGGCCCCCAAGACAAAAGCGTTCACCAAGAGCAGAGTGAGGGTGGTCAGGTGCTAGGGGTTGTAGGGCTGGCCACAGACTCCACGTGGGGTTGCTCTGGGGCTTCCTCTTCTCCCTGATGCTTGCTGGGAGTGGGGCTGCTGGTCCCAGCTTCAGAAGCCTCTGCTTCACCTCGAAACCACGGGCCAAAGCTGGGGGCAGAGCCAAGAGGTGCCTTGAGTCCAGAAGCCAGATAGATCAAAGATATGGGCTGGGGGGTGAGAGAAGGGGCTACAGAAGGAAGAAAGGGCAGTATGAGGTAATGGAGAGGTGAGGGGGTGGGAGCCCAGGGCAGGAGGTAGGGGCATGCTGAGACAGCAGAGTAAGCATGGGTGGAGCAGGAGAAGGGGTGCTGAGAAGAACCCAGGTGGTCCCCTCCTTCACCTCCACACTTCTGCCCCTTGTGTGGCCCTTCCCTTTTCCCCAACATACAAACTCTGTATTCTGGACTCAGGGAGTGGAGGTTGGTCTCCCTTATCGCTGGGGAGCAGGAGCCATGAGCCATCTTCATCATCACTGAGGCAGAGAGAGAGGAGACGTGAGGGCCATTTATCAAGGTTGTGAGGGACAAAGGGAACCCAGCTCACATCAGCCTGCTGTGAAGCCCCCAGGAGCCGGCAAGGGAGGACAGGGTGGCCGCAGGGCGCCCCGGGCTGGAGAGAAGGAGACACTGGGGAACGAAGGACCTTGTGAGACATTTAATTTGTAGCCTGACAGACAGTGGGCTCCTGACAAGGCTGTGACCGCAGACTCACCCTCCTGAGGCCAAACAGATTGAAATGAGGCAGGAAACCAAAACACGAAGGTGGCGAAGCAGTGTGCTCAGGTTTCTACAGCAGCGTGTACAGCGAGGAGGGCAAGCGGAGCCGTGCTGGATCCAGGAAGGGGGGCAGGCCCGGCAGGGCAGGCTGGCCAGCAGGCTTGGGGGTGGCCAGGCCGGAGCAGCAGGCTTAGCAGTCTGAAGGGTGACTAGGCCAGGTGAGCAGGCATGAGGCTGACTAGGCTGAGTGGTCAGCAGGTTCAAGGGTGACCAGGCCAGGTGAACAGGCTCAGGGGGTGACCAAGCCAAGCAGCAGCAGGCTCAGCAGGGTGGCTGGACAGCCGGCTTGGGGGTGACCAGGCTGGAGTGACAGGTTCAAGCTGAATGACAGACTCAGAGGATGGCCAGGCTACGTCAGCAGGCTTAGCAATGAGGGAGGGAGAGTGAGCTGGCTCAGTGGGGATAAAACAAAACCAAACCCAATGCCATCAAGTCTACTGTGACTCATAGCAACCCTACAGGACAGAGTAAAACTGCTCCATAGGGTTTCCAAGGCTGTAAATCTTTATGGGAGCAGACTGCCTCATCTTTCTCCCATGGGGTGGCTGGTGGGTTTGAACTGCTGACTGTTTGGTTAGCAGCCAAGCACTTTACCCACTGAACCAGCAGGGCTCCTTCCACTGGAGATAAAGGGCAGGGATTTACCTGCTCTCTGCTTCCTCTGGGGTCCCTAACATCTTTGCCTTGATCTTCTTCCTCTGTTTCCGGACAGCCACCTTCATGGCTTCCAGCAGAAGCCCAGGTACCCCGTGGTCTGTGAGCAGCTCCCTGGGAAAAGAGAGAGGCAGAGGACAGCAGTGGGAATGGACATGCCAACAGTAGGTCTTACCCCAGGCACCTGTGCATTTTGTTTCCCTTTTTCAAAGACTCTGACTTGCTAGTACCCGGCAAACTTAGCTTAGGTGTCACCCTTTCTAGGAGTACTTCCCTGGCTGCTGCTCCTGTGGGTCCCTGTGACCTTCTGCACGGCCCCATCCCCAGTTTGGGTGAAGCACCAGGAAGGCAGGGGCTTCTTGACTAATGTCTTCCCAGTGAATAGAACAATGAGCTGAAGAATGAAGTGGGGTGACCAGAGGCCCAGGAACAGACAGGAGTGGAGCCCTCTCAGCCCTCAGCCCCTGGCCAACTCCCTTACCGCTGGAAGTAGGCCAGCTCCTCCTTTAGCAGGAACACATTGGCTTTGAGCTCATTCCGCTCCTGAAGGATTTGCTCAAGCTCTTCTCGACTGAAGCTGCACTGGCCTGCCTCCAGGGGGCGTCCTGGCTGCTCTGGGGCATCTGTCTGCAGAAGGACAGGTTTGGTCAGAGGGCCACCATGGCCAGCACTCTCCCCTTCCCCAGGGTGATCCCAGGAACTTTAGGAAGTGATTGATAGGGAGATTTGGGCTGCAGAAGTGCTACAACAGATGACAGCTGTGGTAGTTATATTTATGTGTCAACTTGGCTGGGCCTGGTTGAGTGGCTGGGCCGCTGGTGGTAGTTATTCCCCATGATGAGACTGGCAATCACCTCCATGGTGGGCTCTACCACAAGCAGCTGAGTAGCTGCCTTTGGGATGTGGTCTGCTTCCTGTATAAGGAAAAGCCTTAGGAATGGTCTCTAGCTTATGGCATGCTTGGACCCTGCATGTAGCCATGTCATTGTTCAGCAGCCTGCCATGCTCTGCCAACCTTGGGACTTACAATGGACTTAAGTTAATGGCCTGCCATGTGGTTTGGTAACATCAGGACTGTGCCATTTTACTTGTCAACCTTGGGGCTTCTCAGCCTCAGCAGCCAGCAGCTGTCTGAGTGAAGAAACGCCTCTAGCTTCAGTGGGCCAGGAGTTGGAGGCAGAGCTGAAGTCCAAGGCTGAGGGGCTTTCGCCCAACCCCTAGAGCCTGGCACTTAGAACTTGGACTTAAAGCCTCCAAATTGTAAGAATAAACTCCTGTTTGTTAAGGTCATCCCGTTTGTGATATATTCTTGTCAGCGTGGCACTAGGTAACCAGAACAACAACCTACAGCTGAGGATGGAAGTAGAGGTGGGTTGGGGCCGCAAACTTGTCTGTCTCCTTCCGACTTCCCAGTGGACCTGCCATGAAGCACAGCAAATTTTTCCCGAGTACCCACCAGATGTCGGACCCTGTGAGTACTCGGATGTGTCCCTGCCCTCATCAGGCACTCACTGGGTCCTCAGGAGTCCCCAGGGCTCCTGCGCTGGCAGTCAGCGGCTCGGACTCCTGCCTCTGCTCACAACCGGACCCCTGGGCCTGGTCTCGCGGCTGCTCTTCCGCTCGTCCCGGGGACCTTTCGCGCTGCAGCTCCTTCTCGCTCTCCCGGTCTCGTACCGCGCGCAGCTGGGTCTGCACAGCCGCCAGCTTGTGCCGCAATTCCGCGTTCACCAGCAGGAGGCGGTGCAGCTGCTCTTGCAACTGGAGACGAGACAAGAAGGGGATGGACTGGGCGCCGAGGGGCTGAGGGAGCCCCGCGCCGCGTCCGTCGCCCCGCCCTCACCGCCTCGGTCTCCTGGCTGCGCTGTAGCAAGTCGCGATTGTGCGCCCGGAGTTCGTCTCGCTGTCGGTCTGTCACCTCCTTGAGCTGCCGCAGCAGAGCGCGCTCCTCTGGGGAAGGAGACGTTCTTACGGGCAGCCCGAGGGAGAGGAGGCCTAGATCGGCCCGCAGCCCGCCTGTGTCCTAGCGGAGGCCCATGCGCTCACCCTGTGGCCCACAGCGGAGCTCCCTGCGGAGGTGCTCGTTCTCCTCCCGCAGCCGCCGCAGCTCCAGTTCAGCCTGCTGCGCGAAGACCTGCAGCTGGGGGATCCCGGGCTCAGGGTTAGACCGCAGCCGGCCGGCGAGTGGAGGGGTGGGGGGCATTGACTCACCGAGTCTGGTGCGGGCCCCACCGCAGCCTTTTCCAGGAACTCCAGCGCCTGCACTACTAGCGGCACCAGCCCACTGGCCGCCTCGGGTCCGAAGCGGCGTGCCAGCTCTTGAAGCTCAGTGCCCAGGGCCCCCGCTAGATGGTACACGAGCTCTGCGGCCGACCCCGACCCCGCGGCCACTCGAGGCCGCCAGCCGTGCCCCCCAGGAGCTGCCATCGGAGCCTCCATGTACCCCAAAGGCCTCCCTCCCCTGCCCCCGAAGTGGGGCAGGAAAAAAAAAACAAACCAACCGTTCTGTCCAGGAAGCAATTTAGGGCTGTAGTGGGAGGAGCAATTAAACGTAGTAAGTGGGTGGGGAAGGGAGGCAGCGCGCTAGGCCCCCCGCCTATGTCTTTTTCAACCCCAAGGTCACAGGAAACAGGCCAGCCAACTTCCACCCAGGCGTCCAAAAGCTGAGAGGCTCAGGTCTGCAAGTGGTCACTTCAGTCAAGCCCTCCCCTCCAGGGCCTAGGCCAGGCTCCACCTCTGAGTAAGTCATGAGGGTGACTTGGCTGCCAAGTATTCCAGGCAAGAGTTGAGAGGTAGGGCTGTCACTGGCCTCTATGGAGACAGTCAAACTAGCTTTTCAAACTGGCCACCTATCTGCCCTTTTCTGCACCAGGAGTGACACGGAAAGCTGGAGGGGCTAGGCTGGGCACAACTGCAGACTGCAAGCCACAGTCTCCCACACTCAGAACAGAGCAACAACTACAGAGATGCTGAAAATGTGGTGGTGATTTTGGAGGCAAACCAGCAAGTGTGGTCAGGTTAGTAGGAAAGTGAGCCAACCCCACCTCAGTTTACTGACTCTAAAGGTATCTAGCCCCACAGCTTTGACTATAGGGCCTTTGGCTTCCTCAAGGCACCGACCAGTACCTGAGTGTGAACAAGGACCTGCCCCAAGCCCAGCCCAGCCTCCCATCACCTCTCCACACAGAATTTGAGCTCAGAGGAAAAAAAAAAAAAGATTCCTATTTATACAAAATTTATTGTTACACTTTGTTCAGGATTACAAGTCACCAGGTCAACGACACAAAAACAAGCACAAAATAGAGAAAAAGAGGGCCAAGCTGCTGAATGTCACCAGCTCGTCTGTGGGGGCTAAGAGGCTCCCGTTTTCAGGGAGTATGAAGCAGAAGGTAAGGAAACAATTAGGCATAGAGGTCCTCCCGGTCTGCCGAGTAGACCTCACCCTCCTGCAGGAGGGCGAAGTTGAGGAAGTGGGAGGGTCTGTGCACTTCGTGGTAAAACTCTTTGGGGTTTGCCAGCTGCAGCTCATACTTCATGTTGGGATCATGCCGTACACCTTGGGGTGGAAAAAAAAATAGCAAATGTTAACAAGGGGTCCACCTTCCTCACCCAGCCTGAGCCCCTGGGCTATCTATCTCCAAGCCATAGCCAGGCTCCAAATTTTAAGGATGATGAACTAACCCCATTGCCACTCCTTGTGCTCCCCAGCCAACATCCTGCCCCCCACTCACCCATAAAGTTGTAGTTCCATGAGGACTGGGCAGGGACCATAAAGAAGCCAAGGAAGCGATCCGACAACAGCATCTGGACCCTTTCATAGTGCGAGGGCAGGTAGCCCTTGGGGTTGTTGCCCTTGTCTGTGTTCTGGCGGCCCCATTCATACCCACTCGGGGTAAGCTTGTAGGCTGTCAGGGTGCAGGAACCTGGCGTGAAGCTAGGGGGAGAATGAGACCAGAGTCAACGCTCAGGCCACTGCTCCAGGCCTGCCCTACAACTCCCGTACCACACTTCCTCCCACGCCCACCTGCAAGTGATGATAATGGTCTTTTCGCCATCCCAAGATGGGTTGTCAGCCATGATCTTAGCATGGGTAGTGACATCCTGGGGTGACAGCTGAGGGGACTCGTTGGGCTGAGTGTGGATCCAACCCAAAGGCTCCATCTCCTGTAGGCCAAGAGCAGTAAAGGGCGGTTTAGAATCCTATCTGCAGACAGGAATTCCTACCCAGGAGTAACAAGTCTGCTTTCCTTCCACCAACAGAAGCTCCAGTTCTCCCACCTCACGCTGTCTCTTACCTTGAGGTATTCATGCTGGGGCAGCTGGCTGGGCAGGTGCACGGTCTGGTGAGTGCCCCACTGTGGAACCATCACGATGCAGCGGATCTCCTTCACCTGAGGGTTGTCCGGAGGGCTCACCCCATACAGGTACCCTGCAATCTGGAGACAAGGGGGCCAGGCCAAACTAAGTACCAGCCCAGAGTCCGGGTGCTGGCTGTCAGCTCTGTGCTGTGGTCGTTCTCCCAAGAACAAGGACAGTGTTTCTCAGAATGTGGGCAGAACCTCCTGCATCAGAGTCACCACTGCAGAACCCCTTGAGTGGGGTCCACAGCTCCCCAGCTGATGACTGAAGTATACGTAAAACACCAAGTATACAAGCATACAGCTCAGTGTATTTTCACATGAACACATTAGTGTAACCAGCACTAGGTAGTATTTTAAGTTTTATATTGCCATCAGCAAAGTAAGAGGACCTGTTTCCCATAACCTCACTAACACAGGGTATTAACAGTCTTCACATTTACCAACCCAATGGCCACATAATGGTATTTGATAAAAATACAAATTCCTCTGATTACCAGTAAAGTTGAACATATTTTCATATGACTTCACCATTTGTAGTTCCTTTTCTGACCTACCTTTCTGTATTCTTCGCCCATTCTTCTACAATTAACCTTCTTTAGCTGCCTTGAGAATTCTCTATTCTAGATGCTAATACATTATCTCTTAGTTATGCAAATATTTCCTATTTCTAGTTTGTCTTCTGTAGTACCCTTCGTCACATCCAAGCTATCAATAGATAATTGTAGTTATGTGTGTTGTGTCTTGTTTAAAAAGGACTCTAATACTAAGGTCACAAATATTTTCTTCTAATACTCACTCCACAGTTTAGTATTTTATATTCAGATCTATAGTTCACCTAGATTTTATTATGACGAGTGATGTAGCCACCTTTTTCCAATTGCTTTAATACTGTATGGCATCCTTAATCCCCAGACTTGATCCACATTTATTTTCTATCCATGAGTGTGTTTCAAACTATATGCTACTCTCTTCCAATAACTGCTAGACCACTACTGTCTTCTCTTAATTACCATAGCTTTTCAATATGGTTTGACATCTGGTGGGAGCCAAAATTCTCCTCACTGTTTTGGCTAACCTTGTATATTTAATCTTCCATACATTTTGAAACCAGCATCTCAAGCTCCATGAAATCTCTGGTGAGTTTCAGGCACATAAAGCATTGAGTACACAGTACACTGTTGAACACACTCACTCACTTGGGCCCGGAGGTCAGATATGCAGATGAACTTCTTAAGCACATTCTTGGGAAGGATATAGGTGTAACCAGTCTCCTTGATATCATCAGATGAAACATAGATGTGATTGGTTCTTAGGTGCAGGTTAGCAGCAGAGATGGCCCTGGACACAGGCGGAGCATTAAGTATTTCTCAGCTCAAGCACGGGGATCCATTCCCTTCCTTCCCCAGCCCCTTGCCCTTTTCAGTACCTGACCCTCCATTCGGTCTTAGACGAGAAAGTCTGGGTCTCATAATTGCTGGTGGTGGAGGTGATGATCTCGTCACCATGCTTGTTGACAGTGCGCGTCTGTGTCGCAGTCAGCTGTGACTGTTCCTTGGTCTGCTTCTCGATCTCTGCTATCTGCTGTCGCTGCTGGGATGGTGCTGAAATCTCCATCCCCAGGATGATGTCTCGAATTTCTGACTGTGTCAGCGATGCCACATTCACACTGTGGGGACAGTGTGAGTCACACCACAAGGCTCCCTTTCCCTTGGCTCCCTGGGTCACTTCTGCCTCGACGGCAAGTTGTAACATCGTGTGTGTGGAGGGGCAGGGAAGCCTATCTCTTGCCCCAGCACTCCTCAAATGACACTTCTAAAGGAAACGAAGATGCACTGACACGGATAAGACCCCTCACGTGCCAGGCAGGTGGGCACGGTGCATGTGCACCTTTCAGTTCAGCTCGGCCTGCTCAGCACTCCCACCTCCCACTCTGCCTAGACACACAAGTGCCCTGCACTTGTCCTTGAGGACAATGCTCAAAAACACTGGTTCTTAATCAGAGCTGGCACTGTCACTCTTGGGGATATTTGGAAATCTATAGACAATTTTGGTTGTCACAATGACAGCAAGGGTGTGGCTAGAAGGAAGGCAGTGTATGTACACTTTTAGCAGTGGTACCTGGGGGTCTGGAATGTTAAAACTTCCTGTAATGTATGGACAGGAAAGAGATGCCCTGCCCAAAACAGCAACAATGCCTCCAATGAGAAACACTGCCCAAGAATCAGACAGATGGCCAAAAATACAGACATCTCGTACACTATCTGATGACAGTCTACTTCATCTATGTCTTTTCTAAACATCTGTAAGCATTTCTCGAGAAAGTGCTGAGCCTAAATGTTGTTCAGTAAAATCGGCAACCACATACTGAGCCACCCACTTCACCCTTCTGGCTCTCCCACCTGTCTCCCCATCGTCACTGCTCACTTGTTTTTCTTGCCATAGTCGGCCAAGATCAGATCCTTGAGCTGCACCTCCACCTTGATCCATTCCTCATCAGTCAGAGTGGGCCAGATGTGATGTGGTTCTGTAATAGTGGTCTTATCTGGTTTCAGGATCACCTTTGCTCGATCGTTGTTCACATGCAGGGCACGCAGAATCAGGATGAGACGGGAGAAAGCCTGGAAAGAGATGTGGGTGAGTGGGGAGAAGTCAGCCACTTGAGGCTCTCCCACCCCTTCTTTATCTTATCCGTCCTGGGAACCCAAGAATGGATTTCAAACTATAAGGCTCAACCACCCCTCACGAGTAAGTCAACCTCATATGCAGAGCACAGTCTCTCTTCCCATCTGTAAGCTGAAGATGTGAAAATGGCTTCATTAAGGGGTTTGTGGGAAAAGCTAAGGCACAGGACCTTCTGCTGACACCAAACCTAGTCTTCCTAGAGTTAGGGGACCCTCTTCCTGAGGTGGCTTTATACCGTGTAAGAGGAGATGGTCTTGAGCCAGTCATCATAGAGGTTGAAGAGAACCATCTGAGGCTCTGTAGCTTTAAGAATGAGGTCCCCAAACTTCTCCACCTTGAGACAAGCCTGGAAGGGGAGTTGGAGCTCCGATCCTTTGATCACAATATTGGGGAAGT